AGAGAGAGAGAGAGAGAGAGAGAGAGAGAGAGAGAGGAGATACTTGTAGAAATGTGGTGTTAATTTTTAAAGAAATGACTTGATTTTTCAAAGTGTGTAATGTTGTGATTTTGTTTTTAAATGCTCTTATCCTTTGGAGTAGATGTTCTGCGTGGGAAAGGGAGGTGCTCCCCCCACCCAGAGACCCTGGGCCGTGTCTGGGGACACGTGTGGCAGTCACCACTTGGCAGCTCCCAGCATGGAACAGGTGGAGGCTGGGGACCCCACTCGGCACCTGTGGGGCCCAGGATGCCCCACAGAGTGACCCAGACTCAGTATCTCCAGTGCCCTAGGGGACCCTGGGTCCAAGAAGGGAACCAACTCACTCACAGACATCAGGTTTAATTCCTCAGTGCATTTCCTCTGTGCGTGGAGAAAGAAAGCAGGGAAGATGACACGACTCTCCCGGGGCTGCAGCCCGTTGTCGGGAGCCCATGAGGCAGGCATGCGGAGCAGGAGCCGTAGCTGTCCCCAGGGCGCCCCTTCACCCAAGTCGTGGCTGATCTAGCGGGGTGGGGGCATCGTGTCCTGCCCTATCCTGCAGAGGACCCCCATGTCCCATAGTACCCGGGGCCGCCCCAGAGTCAAAGAGGCCGAGGACCCAGACGCCCCCAGACACTCCCAAGCCGAGGCCGGCTCCCTCTTCAACCATTTCCTAGGCTCCAAAGCTGAACGTGGTGCCCCTTGTCCCCGTATCAAGGCTTGAACCCAGGGCCTTCACTGAGCAACATCCTTAGCCTTTTTACATTTTTATTTTAGGACGGGGTCTGGAACTCAAGATCTTCCTGCCTCAGACTCCGAAGTAGCTGGGTTGACAGGTGTGCGCCTTCACACCGGGCTCATGTTTTTGCTTTCTCTTTGCAACAAAACTGCAAGTGAATACATCAAACTCAATCTCAGAGACCACCTACCCCATCCTCCTACCCCGGTCCCCAAGTTCCCTTGCAATGCTGGGGCAGCATAGCAGCCTCATCCCTCCTCTCCCCATCCCTCTTCGTGCATTTATGTTCTTACAGAAAGTAATTCAGACCTCAAACGTATCCCTGACGTCCCCCTCAGCCATGCATCCGGACACAGCTGCGCATGCGTGTGTGCAAATCTTTTTCTTGCCGGGGATTTAGCTCAGCGGTTGGGTGGCCTGCCTCGCAAGTGCAAGGACCAGAGTTCAATCCCCAAGACCAAAAAAAGCCAAAAAAAACCAAACAAACAAACAAACAAAAAACCAAAAGCAAACAAACAAAAAAAACACAAATCTTTTTCCTTTTTCTTTTTCTTTTTGGGACCAGGGATCGAACTCAGGACCTTGAGAGGCAGGCCCGGTGCCACTAAGCCAAATCCCCGGCAGTCACCTCGTCATCTTTAATGGGGGAGGCGAGGCTGCCATTTTTTACAGTGGGGAGATAACGGGACCAAGCAGGGCCAGTGGCCAGCGCAGGAGGTGATGGTTATGGCAGGTGAGGGCGTGGAGCCTGGGAGCCGAGGTCGGGGCTGTGCCAGGCTGGGGGTGTAGGTGCCACGGGAGGGGCGCAGACCCCAGGCAGGTCCTTTATGACCCGAAGTGCCCTGTATCCAAGGGTACAATGCAAGGAGGCTTAATGCAGTCACAGTGCTGGGAAACCACTTGTGTGTTTGTTTGGCAGCAGTGGGGATGGAACCCAGAGCCATCGCACTGAACTCCATCCCCAACCCTTTCTATTTTTTATTTTGAGACAGGGTCTCACTAAGTTGTTAAATTGCCTAGGTTGGGCTAGATCTTGCAATCCTCCTGCCTCAGCCTCCCAGAGTGCTGGGAAGGTTTCATATTTTCTTATCACCTTCTGCAATCACCAAGTACCCATGAGCAGTCAGTCACCCATCCACTCCCAGCCCCGGCACCCAAGTCCACTTCCTGTCTCTGGAGTCACCTGTACTGGCTGTTTCCTGTCCATGGAGCCCACGCTGTCTGTCCTGCTGCATCTGGCATCTCTCACCAATAGCGTCCTCAAGGTCATTCCACGCTTTGGCAGGTGTCACAGCCTCGCCTCTGTCCTGGCCGAGTGATGTCCTGGTGTGGGGATAATCTCACTGCACGTTGGTATCATGATCATTTGTTATCAAATGATGGAAACCCCATCCTAATTCTTATGAGCTAAATCAATGGATGAACTTCAGATCCTGAAGCATTCAGAAAAAAGTGATGGCAGGGTTGGGCATGGTGGCGCACGCCTGCAATCCCAGCACTCTGGAGGCTGAGGCAGGAGGATCGCTGTGAGTTCGAGGCCAGCTGGGCTACATAGTGAATTCAAGACCAGCCTACAATACACAGCAAGACCCATCTCAAAACAACGAACAAACATGGCTGGATATTTAGTTCAATGACACCGCGCCTGCCTCACAAGCACAAGGTCCTGAGTTCGATCCCAGGTACAGCAAAAAAAAAAAAAAAAAAAAAAAAAACACACCACAAACCAC